CCTTAGCTTTCCTCCGCCACAGCATCGTCTCCGAACAGCACTGATTTTCCATCCATCGAACAGTTAATATCCTTTGACCGGGTACGCACCCGTAGATCAGTCACTCACTCATCTTATACATACGCACTAGCGTAACTATCTTCTTTACAAGTTGTTAGAATAAACGTTGATTACTATACACTGTTACATTCATTGAACCACCTCTGTTATCTTAACCGAAACAGGGGAACGACTATTTCGCGGCGTCGATTAACCGAATCGTAGCGAGAATTTACGCCTCTCGCTCACGCGTTTTCCTAGCGACCGCGTCTCTCCGCGAACGGTCGTACACTTCTGGTCGTGCTGTACACTTCGCCGCAATATGTCCAAATTCGTTGCACTTGAAGCACTTAACACCTTTTCCTTTCTCTGGACACTTAGCACTTAAATGATCTTCACCACCACAATTAAAACATCTTCTTTTGTTACTACTTGTTTGCCTCGACTAATTTCGCACTTTTGATCGTTTTCCCTTATCGTCCTTGCGTTCCCCAGATCTTTTTTCCGCTTCCATATCCCTTTTCATCGCTTCGTACTGCTTAAGACATTCTTTCAGCTGTTGCATGTTCCTGGCTCCGTATAATATAACCTTATTTATGACCTCGTCAGGAATACCCTGAATAATATAGTCGATTTGCGACTGTATATCAACCTTTCCTTGTTCCGCAGTCTCACGCATACTATACATATATTGCTGTAGACTCTCATCTGGTTTCTTCGTTCTACGCGCTAACTCCCGATGTATTTGCTGGTCACTTACTACATTCTCAAATTTGTCCTTCATCGCCTTTTTTAGCTTCGCCCAGGACTCTGTGCATTGTTCTTGTTGTACGAAAGTTTCAGCGGAGCCTGTGAGCAGTTCCTTAGCGAAATCTACCATGTGGATGTCTGACCAACCACACAGTTCTGCCATTTCTTCAAAGTCTTCTATCCACCGATTTATACTTAGCAGATCATCTCCGCTGAATTTCTCTAGCAAGTCCTCTACGTCTATGAGCGTTAGCACTGGCTCGTCTTGCCTTGGTCGTCTTATCACTGGAGTTACCCGAACTCCGACGTCTTGATTATTGAGATCGCGATTTCCTAGACCGTTGACGTCTAAACAGTTCCCAATCACGCCAATCTCATCGTCGTCGTCGTCGTCTTCTAAATCGCTGTCGTTGTCATCATCTGGATCGTCTTCTCGCGCACCGTGTTCCCGCTCTAAGCGTAACGCAGCAAGCAATCGCTCTATCAGCTCGCGTTTTCTGCCCACTAATCTCAGCCGTCGTCTTCTCAGCTCGTCTTTTAGCTCAGGTATTTGCATCTGAGCCACCTGCTCGTCAGTCAAACCTGCTTTTCCTGCATTGTAGTCAGTCATTTTTGTGAGACATCACTTTCACGAATAAACCGTCACTTAAACTCTTCACTTGTCACTTAGCGCTCTAGATCCCGGCTGAGCCCCCAAATTAACAACGAAGCCTATTTACCTCACTCTCTTAGCCAAAATCGTTACCAACAAATCCGATGGTCCCGTGCGCTAGACACACCCATTCTTAGCTTTCCTCCGCCACAGCATCGTCTCCGAACAGCACTGATTTTCCATCCATCGAACAGTTAATATCCTTTGACCGGGTACGCACCCGTAGATCAGTCACTCACTCATCTTATACATACGCACTAGCGTAACTATCTTCTTTACAAGTTGTTAGAATAAACGTTGATTACTATACACTGTTACATTCATTGAACCACCTCTGTTATCTTAACCGAAACAGGGGAACGACTATTTCGCGGCGTCGATTAACCGAATCGTAGCGAGAATTTACGCCTCTCGCTCACGCGTTTTCCTAGCGACCGCGTCTCTCCGCGAACGGTCGTACACTTCTGGTCGTGCTGTACACTTCGCCGCAATATGTCCAAATTCGTTGCACTTGAAGCACTTAACACCTTTTCCTTTCTCTGGACACTTAGCACTTAAATGATCTTCACCACCACAATTAAAACATCTTCTTTTGTTACTACTTGTTTGCCTCGACTAATTTCGCACTTTTGATCGTTTTCCCTTATCGTCCTTGCGTTCCCCAGATCTTTTTTCCGCTTCCATATCCCTTTTCATCGCTTCGTACTGCTTAAGACATTCTTTCAGCTGTTGCATGTTCCTGGCTCCGTATAATATAACCTTATTTATGACCTCGTCAGGAATACCCTGAATAATATAGTCGATTTGCGACTGTATATCAACCTTTCCTTGTTCCGCAGTCTCACGCATACTATACATATATTGCTGTAGACTCTCATCTGGTTTCTTCGTTCTACGCGCTAACTCCCGATGTATTTGCTGGTCACTTACTACATTCTCAAATTTGTCCTTCATCGCCTTTTTTAGCTTCGCCCAGGACTCTGTGCATTGTTCTTGTTGTACGAAAGTTTCAGCGGAGCCTGTGAGCAGTTCCTTAGCGAAATCTACCATGTGGATGTCTGACCAACCACACAGTTCTGCCATTTCTTCAAAGTCTTCTATCCACCGATTTATACTTAGCAGATCATCTCCGCTGAATTTCTCTAGCAAGTCCTCTACGTCTATGAGCGTTAGCACTGGCTCGTCTTGCCTTGGTCGTCTTATCACTGGAGTTACCCGAACTCCGACGTCTTGATTATTGAGATCGCGATTTCCTAGACCGTTGACGTCTAAACAGTTCCCAATCACGCCAATCTCATCGTCGTCGTCGTCGTCTTCTAAATCGCTGTCGTTGTCATCATCTGGATCGTCTTCTCGCGCACCGTGTTCCCGCTCTAAGCGTAACGCAGCAAGCAATCGCTCTATCAGCTCGCGTTTTCTGCCCACTAATCTCAGCCGTCGTCTTCTCAGCTCGTCTTTTAGCTCAGGTATTTGCATCTGAGCCACCTGCTCGTCAGTCAAACCTGCTTTTCCTGCATTGTAGTCAGTCATTTTTGTGAGACATCACTTTCACGAATAAACCGTCACTTAAACTCTTCACTTGTCACTTAGCGCTCTAGATCCCGGCTGAGCCCCCAAATTGTAGTATCGTAAATATAATATTATAATGATGATTTATTTACGATGAATGAATTGTACAGATGTTAATTAATCACAATAACGTATTATGGTCTAGACAACGCAATAGTTAATTTGTAACTCTCGTCACAACGGATCCAACGCTCTCTCTCTTTCACGCGGACTACACTCTCACGACAACTCTGGCAACACTCTCACTTCTTCGTTTACACTCTCCGACTCCTCACAATGGTACTGCCCGCCCTTCCATCTTTTTTGTCTTCTCTCGGAGACGACCCCCCACTACGCTCGGGTCACGCCACCGTTCGCGCCTATAATCGCGTATGCACCTTCCTTGTGTATGTGAAAAAAAAACGGACCGAAGACGACGTTTCTGGAACTATGGTCGCTACATTGTATGCATTTTGCCGGTCCTATACGACGATCTGTCTGTGGCACTGCATTGTACTATCCCGAGAAACTCGAACTTAAATATATGATGGACCAAGCGTATGCCCCCGCCTTTTTTTGGTATTACATATATATGTCGGAGATGGAAGGACAGAGGGATTTCCCGTCCGGAATGTTGGGAAAACCTCAATATCCTAGTCCAGACTTTTACTATAGCTGCACTTAAGTAATAAAAATAAGGAATAGTTTTAATGTTCCAATCTGACTTTATAACGATGGGTTCGGGCTCGAAGTGACATAGCGAGTCACTAGACGTAGCCATGGTCACGGGAGAGACGTGTACCTGACAGAGGTATGAAATGATTATATGGCTCTCCTTAAAAACAAAGATTGACCCGAGAAGTGGGGACAGGTGTATATAAGGGCAGTTTGTTTTGGATGAAGAGAGAGTTACTTTGTTAGTTAGTCGTTGGACGAATTACTGATTGAGTTGTCGAGAAGTTTCCCGAATCGAGTAGTACGTTGATACTTGTCCTCCCGTGGACCGTGGATTCATTATCGAACCTGAGTTCGTTGTCACCATCATCTCGAACATCCTATCGCCATTACTCATAGCCTCTTGTAGTGCCCACATTCGTACTGATAAATATTAGCCACATTCGCGACGGTAAAGTAAGTAAAGGTTCATAGAACGCCCC